TCCCACACGGGTGCAGGGTCCCAAAGCCTTGGGCCGTCCTCGACTGCTTTCCCGGGCCACAGCAGGGAGCTGGAAGGGAAGCAAGGATGCCGGGACTAGAACCGGCGCCCATATGGGATCCTGGGCGTGCAAGGCGAGGACCTTAACCAATGCACCATCGGTTTTTGTGTTTTCCAATTTTTCTTCTTTTGTATAAGATATTTCCAAAGATCTGTTTTCTAGCTCAGATATTTTTATTTTTGCTACACTGAATCTGATTTGAAGGCTTTCCATCCTATATTTTTATTTGGTACACTGAATTAATCATTTTATTATTTCAGTTTTTGTTATTTTTCTTCAGTATTTCTATCACCGGGAATAATTTCTTGTTCACGTAATGTATGGTTTTCTTATATTATGTGTTTGCTTTTTCTGTTTTTCAGTAATCTTATTATGATTCCTTGAATTCCTTTCATCAACGTCTTCATCTTTACATTCTAACATTGAAATACAGTTGCATTTCTTTTGGAGAGTCGTATTGTCCTCCTTAGTCATGTTTCTTGTTTTTCTACATTTATCTCCAGGCATCTGTGGACACATCTTGGATTTATCTCCTCTGAGGACATTGATCTTTTAAATATGCCTCCCTGGCTTACAGGATGCTTGCTCCCTCAGTGGACATCCAGAGGTGTTCTCTGAATGGGTCTGGGAGTCTTGGCAAGAGTCCAGAGTGATATCCAGGTAGAATATGAGAGATCTCCAGTGTCCACAGAGGAGGAAGGATGGAAACATTGACTGACTTGTTCTGAGCACCAGGCCTGCTCTGTGTGAGTAAAGCAACAGCCCAGGGTGAGGCCACAGTGCCCTGCATACCCCAGAAACTCAGGGACATCCTATACAAAGGAGCTGTGTGCTTCTCTGGGGGAGTGTACAGCCATCCACAATGATGTTTCCTGCATTTGAGGAAGTCTGAGCCAGATCCGGTGACGGCACAAAGACCCTGCACAACCATGCCCTGTTGCAGCCATAAAATTCACAAAGTCCTAAGGTCCAGGAAATCCTCTTTCTCCTTGTTCATTTCAAGAGCAATGATCTTCTGGAGCCAATGGAATGTGCAAAAGATGTCAGTTGGCTATTCTGCTTTGATTAGCTGAGTAGAACACAGTGACAGAGTGAGGGGAGGGAAGCTATGTGTCCTTGCTTCACAGACCAAGTGGACATGTTGCTTTCTGCTAACCTTCCACTCAAGACTTCAAGTCACTAGTGACCATCCAGTAAAATTCCCAGTAGATTTTACTTTAGAACCTGTTTCCATTGAAAAACACTCTCAGGTGCATTGAGGGTTACTGAAAGTTGTTCTTACCATTTTCAAAAGAACTTGATTGAAATTTCTTCCCTCTCAGATGTTTTTTTTTTTCATTTGTTCTTAAGCCCAATACAACTTTATTTTGTTGTTATTTTTATTGGCATAAAGCAAACGGGTGCCATGCAGTCCATCGCTGAAGAAAGCTACTCTTCCCTCGCCCCATATTCAAGTCCCTTCCTTCCTACCTCTCTCTCACTTTCATCAGTCTTTGCAAAGGTATCGTTGTAATCCATTCTGTGTGTAACTTTGAAATATTTTTGGATCACAATAGTGACAGGGACTAGAACATTAAACTAAGGTCTGGCTTTGGTCCTGGCTCTGGGGTCTATGAAGCCTCATGGAAATAGCGGTTTTACTTACTGCTTTTTTTGTTTGTTTTTGATTTTTAAATTTCTATATTTCTTCCCTTTCCACTTACCTTCTTTCTCTTTCCTCTCCTCTTCTCCACTTCCCTCCCATTCATATTTCCATCCTTCCTTCTCTCCCATCCGTGCATTGTATCCTTTGTTCACTTCTTTCCTTCCCTCTCTAATTCACTCCCTCCCTTGCTCCCAGCCACTTTAATCTTCTGTCCTCTGAGTCCAGGCTTCCATGATGATCTCAGGCTAAGGTCTTCATTTGGGGTGGACTCTGTGTTTTATCTTATGTCCCCATTCTTCTCAGGAGTTTGAAAGTTGTATATCCAGGCCTGGTGTGGTGGCTTAGTGGCTAAAGTCCTTGCCTTGAATGCTCCGGGATCCCGTATGGGTGCCGGTTTTAATCTCGGCAATCCAACTTCCATCCAGTCTCTGCTTGTGGCCTGGTAAAGCAGTTGAGGATGGCCAAAACCTTGGGACCCTGCACCCATGTGGGAGACCTGAAGGAAGTTCTTTGCTCCTGGCTTCAGATTGGCGCAGCACTGGCCCTTTGCTCTCACTTGGGGAGTGAATCATTGGACACAAGGTCTTTCTGTTTGTCTCTCCTCCTCTCATATATCTGACTTTGCAATAAAAATAAAATAAAATTTTAATTAAAAAATTTGTATGGACCCGGTGCGATAGTGTAGTGGTAAAAGTCCTCGACTTGCACGCACCAGGATCCCATATGGGAGCTGGTTCTAATCCCAGCAGCCCCGCTTCCCATCCAGCTCCCTGCTTGTGGCCTGGGAAAGCAGTCAAGGACAGCCCAAAACCTTAGGACCCTGCACCCGCGTGGGAGAACCAGAGGAGCTCCTGGCTCCTGGCTTCAGATTGGCTCAGCTCCAGCCTTTGCAGCCACCTGGGGAGTGAACCATCATACGGAAGATCTTCCTCTCTGTCTCTCCTCCTCTCTGTATATCCACCTTTCCAATACAAATAAATCTTTTTTAAAAAGTTTATGTATCTAAGGCTTAAATGAAATTTTCAGATGAATAGAACTGTCTTTGGTGTAAAATATCTATGAAGATGAATGATTTCACTTTGATTTTGGCCTGTACATTTTCCCCTTTTTCTGCCAGCTTAACAATGAAGTCAAAATACCATTTGATATTCTATTCAGAATTTGTTTTAATCAAAATAATTGTTTCTAAATATGTTCCATCATAAGATGGCAAAAATGAAGTTTGAGAATATTTACTTTGAAAGATTAAGAATATAGCATGTGTTCTTGCATTTTTGTCCTTCCTATAACAAAGTGATATTCTAACTTAAGTGCTTATTAAATAATAGGCAAAAACTTTGACAGTGAAAGTTTAGTCAACTAGCAAATATGATAGTATAGTGTAGCCAATACAGCAACTATATTTTGAATTAGGTATGGTATCAAATATATCTTTTCTTCAAAAAACAGACTTTATTATTGTTATTCTTTTGGCTTCACAATAATAAAGCTTCTCAAATGTATATGAGCAAATTCTTGCACCCTTAAGAGTCACTTTCTATTTTATTCATTGTGAATAATCTTATTTTTCAAATATCATCTGGCTAGTAAAATGATACTTGGTATTGCCTTCTATAGAACACTTCATAACAGGAGATAACTTTATATTAAAATTCCACCAGAAAACTGAACAGAACCCATTTCCACTTGCCTTTTTTAAGTGTGTGAGGACACCACTACACAACAGAAATCATAATTACTAATACAAAATGTTTTGTACATTCTATCATTATGGTATAGTGAGTTTATTTTAACATTAAGTTGTATTGTCTGTAGTTAGCTGTACAGATGGGATATATTAGTAAGGTAGATGAATAAATGCATCAGCTCTCGCAGTCACCCATGCTTTGTTTCGTTTTTGTGTGCAGAGCAGCGAAGCTCTGCTCTTTCGGCGTGAGTGCCGATGCAGCACAGTACTATCAGCCCTCGTGTTCTGCTGTATTTTAGATCTTGAACCATCCCTGTTACTTTGTACATAGTGAGCTACAGACCCCTGTTTCCTACCTGGCCCCTCATCTACTCTTTCATTTTCCATCCATGAATGTTTGAAACTTGATAGACTCTGTATAGTAAGGCAGAGAATTCAATATTTTCTTTTTATGTGTCTGGCTTATTTTACATAGCATAATGCCCTCCATCTTATCCATTTCTGGCAAATGGCAGTAATATCCACTGCCTGTAGCACATTTTTCTGTCACTCATCTGTCCATGAATGTTTAGGCTGTTTTCCTATCCTGGATGTGATTCATGCTGCAGTGAACATAGAAACGCAGCATACTTCCTTTGGGTACATTCCCAGGAAAGCACTGGATGGGTCATAGGATAGTTTCATTTTTAGGATCTTTAGGAAACTCCGTGCATTTTTCATGACTACATCCATCTTCATTCCCATCATTATTTGTTATCTCTAGACTTTTGGATAATATCCATCCTTACAGGTTTAAGTTATTACTGTCAGTTTGATTTGCATTTTAGTGATAATTAATGGTGTTGAACACTTTTGAATATACCTGTTGGCCATTTTTATGTCTTCTTTGGAGAAATGTCTATTTAAATCCTTTGTTAATGTGACTAATTTAATTTTGTTGCTATGAGGTTTTTACTATGTGGCTGTTAGATACACAAAATAGATACACATGAATGTAGTAATAATACCCTGTTTGTTACAACACATCCGATCACTTATTAAATTTTAGCAATATGAATGGTTACTGCATCCTTGTTTTTTGAAAGTTTAATAACATCTATAGGTACTAAACACCAAAGATATACAGCTGTACGTACAAATTACTGCTGTGTATAACTTGGCCACAATAAATCTATGGCTTTCATTTCTTAAGTGGAAAGTAATTTTATACATAAAGATGAAGGTCATGTGTGCAAGGAATGTGTATAAACAGTGGATTACAGTGATTCAAATAACAGAATTTATTGTGTTAATAAAAAAATAAATGTTCCTGCTTAAAACATGTGTTGCTTCTAATTTGGTTCAAGGTTTCTTGAGCCTAGGAATACCCTAGTTTCTCCCACCCTTTCCCTGAACTCTCCTTGTCCTCCAGGAAGGTCTACAGAGCCCCTTGCAGGATATAGAAGGCATATGTAATATATATGAAGGAAATCACATTTTGTGCAGGTTTGTTTTTTAACAACCATAAGTAATTTTCTGTAGTATTCTATGATTGCTAGTTCATGATATATTTCTTTTATATTACTTGAAAATATATTAATATAATCATATATATTTTTTCTATTTTAGTGAGTGGACATCCAGTACTCAAGAGAGCCAACATCCGGCTTGTGGGGAAGTTGGTGGCAAATTCCATAAGAGAAAGGAAAATGAAACGGTACACTAAGGCCTGCGACCAATGTTAGCACAGTGCTGTTACCTTTGATAGTTGGACATATGAGCTCCAAGACACAGGCTAGCCATGGCATTATTTCATTCTCAATTAACAAGAGAAAGGACAAACCCCATTCACTGGTTCTTCTTCATAAAGTCAGTCTGCTCTATAATAATGAACTCACATAATGTCTGGTATGTTTTTCATCAGATTAAAATTTGTTCCATGATCAATAAATTCCCTTAATAAACTTAAGAATTCTTATTTATAAAATTCATAATTCTGATATGAAATACCACTGGGATTCATCTCTTTTCTTCTCTAGGAAGTGAATACTATATATGATGTTTTGTTGAAATCATATGTCAAAGAATTTGCTTTTCTAAATACCTTTCATCACTTAAATTATTTAGAAATGAGTTTTCAAGATGTATTATATGAAGCAAGTGAGGTGGCACAATTCATAAAGGGGTGTCCATCGCTCATACTGAGTGCCAGTTAGCATCCCAGCCTCTGCACTTGCAGCACAGCTTCCTGATGAAGCATCCTGGGAGGCAATAAATCCTGATTGAAGTGTTTGGCTCCCTCCCAGCCTCATGCACGTAGCCCTTACTTCTTTGTTTTGGCTTGGCAAACAAATGCCCTGGCTGTTGTGGCATTTGAAGAGGTAAGTGTGCGCCAGATATCTCTTCTCTCTCTCTCTGTGTTATTCTGCCTTTAAAGTAGGTGAAAATAAAGATTAAACATTTTTCAATTGCATTTTAACATAGCCATGGCATTACTTTTACATTTATTATATTATGTTATTACTATTTAAACATTAATCAGTATGAAATAAAACATAGGAGTCCAATACAGTATTCTGAGTTTAATCACAGGAGTACTGAAAAAACTTGAAAAAAAAATCAGAAAATGCAAAAAAAGGCTGAAAAAAAACCACACACATAGATTTGGATTTCTTTAATGTAACAGATAATCAGCCTGTTCCTTTTTATAACATTATTGGGATAAAACTGCCTGGATTTTCTACCACAACTCCAAAAACAAAACCATAAAATTAGAATGAAAGTACTTACAACTCAGAATACAGGATCACTTGGTATTATATAATCACTGTTTCAAATGGTATGTGTAAGAAAAAAGGTGGCTATGAAAGCAGTATCAATGTAGTAAATTATTATGTTAATTTGGGGTAACATACAAAAGTTTTTAATTTTTCCTTTAGTAGAATACTATGATTTTGTCTGTGTCCTTGACTCTTAAATAACTAAAATAGGGCTACTCATTGTCCTTTAAAGGTATGATTCTAGATCAAGTTCAGTGACAATATGTCACTCTAGAGCTATCGAAGACAGTATAAGGTCATGGAAAAGGCACATTCACTTTTCAATAGTTAGATTCTGTATAAAAATTGGCACTTTATGCTCATCAAAGAACAAGAAATATTGGACATGTTCTAAATGTCCATTGTGTTTTTGCGCCAACTACCTGATGGAAGTCATCACTTATATGTAAATGAACTGTCAATGGCTTGCCACAGTTGGCAATCACTGGGCTGTGAAGGGTACGTCTTAATAAGAACTGAAGCTCTTCACAGACTTTGATTTACTGGAAATAAAATAGAAAAGTCCTTTGAGACTACAAAGGACACTTGTTTCAGATAAAACGTCTAGACAGTAGCAATATATTTAGGGCTTTTATTATAGCAAAACTGCAAATTAGAATGGAGTGGCGAGAAAGTTCCCATGACCCAGCTGAATTCTAAAACACTGCTTCTGCCTAGAGTAATACAATCTTCAAAATAGCTAAGCCAAATTAAATAAAAATGCATTAAGAGAAAAAAAAAGACACAATACAAGGTCAAGATTCCAGTTAGTTACATTTTTAAAATTGTTTGTCTTAGGTTTTACATTTTCGTATTAATCTACATTTTTCTTTTTAAAACTTATTGTTGTGATGATTTCCCATGATATAGTTTTGTAGGTAGAGGGATTCCCCCAATTTTCTTTTCCTTTACCCCTCCATTCCCTTCCCACCATTTTCCCTCATATTATCATAGTAGTATAGTCTTACAGTAACAGTTACAAGTTTAACATTCGTCTATTTAATTACATCATGGCATTGTAGAAAAATGTGACTGTTAGAGAAGTTGAAAGCCAGCATCTCAGGATCTGGTCACATAAGTTACTTCTTAGATAATTCAAATCAAGGAAATTTTGATAATGCAAATTAAGGGACTGTTACCTTGTCTATCCATTTCTTTCTAGAGTTTCATTCCAAAGCACAAACATAATTAAAGCACAATATAAAATTCTGCGTAAGTAATATTTTTGATGTTGTTAGTACCAACCATTCATTAGTAGAATGCTTTAGGATTTGCTTTATCCTTTTATATAACTATGAACTACGGATATTTTCACAGGTAGAACATTATGTTAGCTACATTCTCATTAGAAATGCAGGCGTGGGTGTGTCAGGGAAGGTAAACAGGTTTAGAAACCAGTTCTAAAATCACAGCGGTTTAGGGATTTTGCAAGAGTACTCCCATTAAAATTGTGGGGAAGCAGAGAAAGCCTGAATTAGTTGGGCAGTTTTATGATAAAACTTTGAAGCTGAACAATGACAGTCCAACTGAAACCACTGGCAATATTTCTGCTTCCCCTAAAAAATGAGGAATGAGTCTTAACTTCCAATGTCAGAAACTGGCACGTGGTCTTGCTTATTGCAAAGGTGGACTGCATTTCTTAGTGTCCTTGAACAGGGTGGTGTGGGTTCCCCCAGTAGAATGTTAGTGGAAAGGATACGTTCCAAGTTCAGATTGAAGCCCTCAAGTTGGTGTGCTTTTTCTATGTTTTCTTTTGCGTCTCTTGGATGGCAACCGTGGCCCTAAGCAATGGCACAGCTATTTGGGAAATTGTGAGTTCTTGAAAAACTATATGGAACAGAGTCCCTGCTAACGCATACTAGATGTGATGTGAGAAGAGATGGATATTTGTCAGTTGCTTATTGATTGAAAAAATGAAAAAAAAAGTAACAGGATGAGATTTGTTAACAGCTTCTCAATTTGACAATGTATTTATTTTGGACTATAATGCTTGTAAATTTTAATGATTTTCAATGATTACAGGATTAATCTGTGAGTGGAATCTCATGTGCCTAGATTGAAATATGATTATAAGGAAGATTTAAAATATCCTATACATTGATAGGTTCTACAGATTTGCATCATAAATCATGATCCTTGGCTACTCTGTTCAGAGTCTGAAAACGTAAGTTTGAGAAACTGATGCTTTGGAATCTCAAATAGCTGATTTTCTTGATAAAGGTGTGTTTATAAAACTTCCTCCCTTGTGTTAGAAGAAAAATAACAGGAACTACCAAAGCTTGCTGTGAATATAAAAATGTATGTCTTTTACAGCATTGGGTAGCTGGGGCTGATGTTATTGTCTGTTCTAAGGCACTCATTTTACGAATTCACAATCTGAGGTACAGCAGATAAGCAAGCTCCTACAATAATTGAGTGCCTGGGCTGCAACTGGCATTGCATCTTCTGATTCCCAAACCCAGTGTTTTTTTTTTTTCCTATCATAGTAAGTCATGTCAATAGTCTATGAGGATGAAAGATACACTGTGGCTCAGAGAGACAGTATCAACAGAGAAACCATTCCCAACCATTCAAAAGATGCTTCCCAACTTCTCTGTTAATCTCCTGTCCTCCATGCAAAAATCTGTGGGATAACCCCTCTGCATTCTTTCTGTTAGCTAGTTTGATCTACCTACATTCAAGGGATTAAAGGATCTTTATGGCTTCGCATCTGTTCAAGCCTGTCAGTTCATCTCAGTGACTGATTTGTGAAGTTCTAGACATTGTGCAATACTATGGAGTGACATTCTGATGATATTTATGTCATAAGGATCAACTGTTAATTTCAGAGAAATAGGAATACTCTTTCCAGGAATTGTGTGTTTGTATTTGTAATGACTTTCATCAAGGGTGACTCATGGTATACATCTTGTGACTACATAATTATATCATTATACTATATTGTTTGAGGGTTTTTTGCAGAAAAAAAAAGTTTACTTATGCTTGCATTCCATGTTATTTGATGGAAAATCTCTAAGTTAAAACAACCACAAAGAATTATATTTAAAAGGAAACCTCATGTTTCATCTGTAAGACAGATTCCTTCCAACTTTGTTCCCTTACTGTTCACTCTTGTAATTACTACAACACTGTAGAACACAACAGAAGTGTTCACTTCTGGTTGAGAATTCTTTTTTTTAATTAATTAATTAATTTATTTTTATTATATGACACAGTTTTATAGGTACTGGGATTCCCACCACCCCTCCCAAAACCCTTCCCCCTCCCATGGTAGATTCCTTCACCGTGTTGCGTGACACAGTTCAAGTTCAGTTCAGATTCCTTCATTGCTAGCATGTACCAAGCATTGTGATCCTCATATTATTGCCCAGATAAGTTCAACGGCTTTTTGGAGAGACCTTCTCTGGTCTGAAGGTAGAGCCAACAGAGTAAACCCAATCAATCAAAAGCCCTAACATTGACATTTCCCCATATAAGGTACATAACCATTATAGGGGGGGTGAGCAGAGAAATCTTCAGCACCTTGATGAGGAGTACTTGCTCTGTGTCCTACCTAGCAAAGTATGTTTGAGTCTGTGCTGACCAAGCTTTCCTTGTTGTTCTCTGTCTATTCTAATGTGTGTGTGTGTGTGTGTGTGTGTGTGTGTGTGTGTGTGTGTGTGTGTGTTTGGAGGGGGCGCTCTGGAGCAACCCTGACAGTCATTGCATAGAGTGTGGAGACCCAACGTTGGAACTGAGGACAAGAGAAAGCTTCTTTCCTTAGTCCTGAAGGGAGTTTACTGTTCCTTTGGTTCTGAGGACCGCTCTGGTTTCCTGGCTGTTGTTCTGACGTCTTTGGAACCCCTGAGGAAGATTTAGGGCTTCTTTCATCCCGTGTAGTAGGTTCAGTTCAGGAGGGATGCCCTCTGAGTTCGCAGGCTCCGAAGGTATTCCAGTTCCCCGTGGTCTCTTTGGCAATTGGGATGCAGTCCTTGGTGCCCTTATTGATAGTCCATTTTATCAGGTGTAAATATACCCACTCTCCTATCCATGTAGCAATACAAAGATTGGCTTTCTTATTCAAATACATAATGTCACTCATGACATTCTAGACTCTCAGAGGAATTTCAAATAT